AAATATAAACATTCGTTTTACATTATCTCTGTTTCTGTTTACATCTGTAAACCACGTGGTAGAACTACTTTCAATCCGTATTGTTTCCGAGGTTAATATTATAGATAATAGCCGAGGCAGTTCCGAATGTTTAAACACACGTCAGAGTAAGTATATTTTATAAAAATGTAATTATAGTCATTGATTATTAAAATTGCGAATTTTGTGTAGAGGATGTGGGGCTCTGACCTACATGTATTTCCTCGAAATCATATAAGTAAGTTTAGTACAATAGTAAAAAAGTTTTTGAAGGGAAATTGGCAGTGACTGATTTTGTGTCCGTGACAAAGTCATATGATTAAAGCCAATACCGTGAATGTTAGTTGTTATTTCTACATACAACTTACGTAAATACTCTTGTTGAGCTGCATAGCAAAAACTACTTTGCTAAGATATATATTTACGCATTATTGTCAAAATATTTATGTGTACGACGGATTTTGGTGCGATAAGATCACATAAGGTCCAATAATTTGACAGTGCGTTTCTTAAAAATATATACTATAAATAATCATTATTTTCGGGGGGAGTGGTACAATCTGTTAAAATACGTTACAAAGTTGAAGAAAGATTCGAACCGCTATACGTTCGACTCCTGTTTAAGATAAACTAGTCCCGATCGATCTGTCTGTGTGTGTGTGACATATTAAACTTCTTTTTTTTTACATTTTGTAACAACTGATTTGTTTCCCTACAGTCTAAATCAGACCAATTAATTTAGATACCTCAATCTTGGAAATGTACAGCCATGTTTAAATAAGAGGACCTGCAACTTCCCTAACAACACTGGTGGATATATTCACCGTATTTTTTAAACTGTTACATTATTTTCATTACATTTCAGTAATATATGCAAAATTAAAAGAGGCAAGTGTGATATTATTCCAGAACAATATAATTCTTAATTATTATCGCTACATTATATATACACATTAGTACTTTTGTATCCATTTGCGTTTACTAATTTAAGTTACATAAAATGTCAAAATTTAAAGTAGTACTCTCGCTAAACTCATTAAAATTACAATGATTAAGTGTTCATATAATGTTGTTGAATGATTTAATCTTCAAGTGCTATAATGTAATAATAACAATCACATATACATGAGAACCCATTATGGGCCTGAATAATAAGATATTAAATAAGTTTATGTGTTCCTAAATTTGAACTATTGAAGATTAAGCTGTAAAAAAGACCATAAAAACGATTAATGTGTCCTAGTTTATTTTATGAGGTAAGTTACTTATTTGAAACCTCTGAAATGTCTACAAAAAAAACATTTCTGCAAATGTTATATTACAATATAGATTAATTTACAGTACCCTACTCAAAACCTCTTTTGATAAATGGTGTGACATGCACAGTTTGTTTGTATAATGTGTCACGAAACTATTTTGTAATTACTGGTTTACCTCTCAATGTGTGTTGCTGCGACTACAACGCAATTTCAGAAAGCGGTTCATTTGTTCTGTTTTCAAGATCCACTGTAGTTTACCGATTTCATAATTGATATTTTAACTCGAAAATATCACGGACCGAATATGCACACGTGTGACAAATTCGGTTCAACTTACAGTGGATATACCGGAAATAGAAAAAAATATTTCACCTTTTTTTTAAAAAAAATGTTTGATTGAAAAATATTTCATTCGATTTTTCTTTTATCAAACAAGCGCAAAACATATATCATGAGTATCATACTGCAATTACAAACTATTAGTTGAAACATATTTATTTGTGCTCATTTGAGAAATACATTCTTTCAACTTATATCAATCAGTTTAGAGTCCGCTTTCAGGAACTAACCAGTACTGGTGTCAAATGAGGAAACCTAGTCGTGACCCGACTCGGGCTCGAATCCACAACCCTGGGGTTAACAGGCAAACATCTTAGCCATTAGGCTACCACTGCCCCTTATCATTGTATCATCCACACTTTATGATTCATGAGGAAAAATCGCATTTTGCTAGAACTTTAATGGCTCATATGCTGCAACCATGAAAGAGTCAATCGTTAGAATGCATGTTAAAATATGTTGTCAGAGTGGGGCATAAAAGTCGATATTTATTATTCTAAATAATAAATATTAATGTCTAAAATATTTACCACAAATTTTCGACATTTATTGACACATTAGTCATCTTATTCGGTCCGACACTGCTGAAAAGCTTTGAAGTATTCATTTGTTAATCTGGTTAAAATGTTTCCAAACATGTACTGACTGCATGGCGAACAGTGAGAACATTGAAGAGACGGCATGTGTGCCGGCTTGACTTGATTTTCATTGGCCGCATTGCACTGCACAAAAAGATAATCATTGTCTGCCTTTTTGTATAACTAAGGAATTTAATTTAGTTCAGTCAATGTTTATAAAGCCGTTTTTTTTGTAAAACCATAAGTATTATTATATTGTATTAATATTGTTTAAGCCATTTATTTTTAATTTAGATGAGAATTAAGTAATTGGAATAAAATACCTTTCACTTTTTACTTTTAGCATCAAATAGTAAAATCAAAACACAAACATGTTAGCGCAAGCCGCAAAAATACTATGCAAATATATATTCAAATAAACAGTAGCTTTTGTTCTGGTGGTAGATATGATTCAAAAGAAAGACAAATCAGAGATTTCTTTTGGTACTAATGTCTTCTATTGCTGTACATCTGAGGCAGATACTGCAATAATGTTTTTTAAAGCATATCAAATGATAAAACGTTCGTGTCATTACGGTGTCCTATTTCGTCCGCAAAATTTCGCTAGTAACACGCGATAATTATCGCCTTTTTTTAACTTTATGAAAAGTTAATGATAAACATTTTTAGACAGGAAACATATATCTGCGAGTACAACATAATACTAGGAGAAGGTATACACTTCCTCATTTAACAAAATATTTAAGTGATTGAAGTATTGCTTTATTAATTTTAAAGAAAAAATGGTATTTAGTCTTTATGTTTTAACTAACAGTTTCCTTCGATGGGATTACCTACAATTACAAGTATTTCAACTAACTTCCATTAGTATAATGATGTCCACCTTTTCCGTACGTCCTGAACGCATTACAACATAACATCGTGAGATGGAATTATAGTTGTGTCAGACCTTGATTGGCGTCCACGTAAAGAAATCAGATTTTGTGAAAGGGCGACAGCAACTTCTCGAGCCTTTTATAGTTGTTCATAATAAAAGCCGATCATTCCGATCGGTATGAGGGTGCTTGATTATTAATTAGTCGCGATATGTACAATGAATAGCGAACTGGAGAATTTCGCAATGCAAACATTTTCAAATTAATTAACCTTTTCCGTCAATAAATCGCGCTCTTCGGGGTATTTTTATTTATCATTTTGTAGTACACAGTGGGTTATTATGGTATGTTATTTCGAAAGCTGTAAATAGAATGTTGTGTTGATGAACTAAATATTCCGAAAATCTATTTATAGAGGGATGTACTCCTGTCGGTAATTCCCGGTCTCTCCTGGTCTATTTTGACGACCGGCGAATAGTACCACACGTTTATTGTCCGGTCTCTTCCGGTTTTGGAGTAGATGTTTGATATCGTTACAGAACAGAACAAATATTTTACAGATAAATAAGCTTTTTTTCAAGATGAATGTTTGTCACTTAGTTTGGTTACAATAATTAATAAAAATAGATCAACTCTCAAATTTATTGATCATAAACATACAATTCGAAAAAAAAAACTAACAAACAAATCGCATGTTTTATTTTATCTATATGAGATAAAAACAATAAATATGTACAATAATTGAGAAAAAATGTACATTTTTATGGCATTAATATGACACTATCAACTTTGAAACATTTTATTTAATTTGTTATTCGTGTTTAGTAAAGATGCCTAGGAAGTATTCAAAGTTACAAATCAGATTTTATGAATTATTCAATTGATTGATAATTTAAAAAATGATAAAGAAAAATACAAATGTACATGTATATGGTTTAAGAATAAACAATATTATATATTGAAAGTTTAACCCTAATTTACTGACTTTTTCCAGTTAAGTTTTGACTTATAATCGTCAGTCATTATGGCAATTGAATTCTTAAAATAGTAGTAAACGTAAAAACTCAGTATTAAAGTAGTGCATAAAACACAAAAAAGAAAAGAAAACAATATTTATAAAATCTGTTTTTTTTTTTATTAAAAAAGATATTACGATTAGTGTATAATAAACATTTATGCTCAACATGGTAATATAACAAGTGTCATATTGTTTCTAAGTGTGAACAGATAGCTTAAGAGGGGGTCTTCGCTAATAGCGATAACATAATAAGGGACAATTACACAAGTGTGGTGTTGGTCATGCGTTACTCATATGGATTATAAATGATTGTATACATGTATATCCGTTGCTATTAATAACCACGATCATAAAAAATAACAAGTAATATTCTAATTTCTAGCATGCCAATCAAAGTTATAAATAATGAACAATGTCTTTCGTTCGTTCATTCATAAGTGATATACAATACTGGTAAAAACCAATGAACCATTGGACAGTTTATAAGAATATCTTGTTATCATATATCTACTAGTTCATCTGCACCTGCTGCATTTCTTGCTTGTATTTGTTATGTTATGAATGTTGGACCTGTAACATATTATCACTTTACACATTATGCAGTTATTATTTTCATTTATTTGATGACTTTATATCAATAACAGTTACTGTTGATATGAAAAAAGTTGTCATAAGCGTATTTGGTTTATCTGTGTCATTAATAAAGGACGAAAAACCCGCAAATGATCTTCAGCAGGGTTCCTGGAGCGACAAGAACAAAATAAATATATTTGTTTTGAATATCATTCCACTTTAGCCGTTATCAAAAACGGTAGCCCATACAGAACCTCAACAAAGAATGGCGTGTTTCTAAATTTAAATGTAATGACATTACGACTTATAATAAGATATAAGATTGTCGTCAAAGTGTTCATGTTAACATAGTGGTGTATCACTCACTTGACAGCAAACTACGACGCAGTTTAAATAAATGTGTGAATATTTCGTGCTTTTCACAACAACTGATTTCTTGATTCAAATAAAAGTATTTGGAGAAAAAATAATTGATTAAAGGTAAATATCATATATTTATTTAATATTTAACCGAATTCCAATCGACAAATCAATAAAACATGATTTTCTCTTCTCTTTTATTGTGTGATATATCTAGACTAAAGCACTCGACGAAGAAGAGACGAATGGTGCACTGAGAAATCCTGCCAGAGGGGCATTTGTTCCCATCCGACTTTTTTGTTGTGCATTATGCTTTAAAACTGTTAAATCATATTGTTTGATAAAGATATATTTGCTACCGGAGTATTTTGTAGAGTCAAGTCATTATGACGCTCGAACTCAGCCTTGCGTAACGCTATTGATACAAAGATCATAACTCACATGCTTTTTAAAACGCAAGTTTGCTTTTCGTGAGGCTGTTTCATCTCTCATTGCCCAAAAACATCAATATTCATAAAAATAGAAAGATGTCATTTATGTTCAAAACGCATTATGCATTGCCTCGGGCCACACATTCATAATCGGTTATATAACATTATTTTTTCATTCATGTAGCCAGTTTATAAGTATCTGTAGCAATTGCATAAATGATGATTTCAATATAATTTATGATCAGTTAAAAAAATCAAACACATTTCTTTAGCTTTCGATGTTTTGATTCTTCAGAAAAAAGAAACTGTTATAAAATAACAAATTGCACAAAGTCCGCTTAACTATACTCTAGACGGAACATGGCATTAATGCGGAATTAAAAACTTTGTCAAACAAAAAAAAACCGAATCTTTCAAATAAAACATTGCTACATAAACACAGCAATGTACAATACACAGAAAATATGGATCAAAACATGTTTTTTCTAATAATTTGTTGTTGTTATTATTATTATTATTATTATTATTATTATTATTATTATTATTATTTTGACTAATTTCAAAGAATTGGATCATTTTGTTGAAGAAATTAATATGTATTTACTCGGTTTCTTTTCTAAATTATACTTCGATTATAATATATATTGAGAAACTGTCATTTCCTCTTGCCCGATTTAAATCAACATATGTGAGAGACAATGGTATAACTAGGCAGGGTCAATTATTCAACCCAAAAAATAAGTGTTTGATCTGTAATTTTAGAATTTGGGTCAACGGTTTAATCTTAAATTTCTATTATTTTATTAAACAAATCAAATCAGAACAGTTTGAATATTCCGTTGTTTCCTATGTTTAGTTGTATTAAGCCAATGCTCAGGACAAAAAAATCAGTATAAAATAATACAAGAGGCATTAAACAACTGGAAGTGAAAATTCTTTACCATCAGTTATAAGTAATGTATTTCTAATTCATTTTTAGCTCGACTTTTTTGTTTTGAAAAAAGGAGAGGTATTGTGATTGTCGCGGCGGCGTTGCCGTTGCCGGTGCCGTTGCCGTTCGCAAACTTGTATTTGTACAACAAATATAGTTAAAATTATCAGATTAATACATAACTTAGTGAGGACATCGATATGCGCACATAACGCAACATAAACATTTGGTGGTATTCACCCGAATAAAAGGTGGCATGTATATCCGGTAAAGGGGACGGCTAGTACGGCTTGAACACGGTATACACAAGACCTTTCAGTAGACCACACTTACCTTGACCTTCATCCATAAATGACCTTGACCTTCAAGGCAAAATGTCCAAATGTTGCTTGTTCTTGCTATTATTGGCTGTAACTTTGTTATTTTTGAATGGATTATCTTCAAACTTGTTTATAATAATCTTTAAAGATATCCCTGACAGACCTTGACCTTCACTCATAAATGACCTTGACTTTGAAGGTAAAATTATTTAAATTTTCATTTTTTGGCTATTATTGGCTGTAACTTTGTCATTTTTGAATGGATTGTCTTCAAACTTGAACATACTAAGCTTCAAGGATTATTTTTAAAAATAACCAGATAGACCGTGACTTTCACTTATTATTGACTTCGAAGGTCAAATTATTGAAATTTTCATTGTTTTGGTTGTAACTGGCTGCAACTTTGCTATTATTGAAGGGACCAACATCATATTATAACAGAACATTCTTAAGGACAAGACCTTGTTGTTTATCAAACTCAAATTGACTTGGACTCTTTAATGACATTGACCTTGAAGGTTAAATTACAAATGACTGAGAGAGAAAGAGAGGGAGAGAGCATCAACAACAACAACAATTGCGTGTATCTATTTATAGAATTGCGTATATCTTTTTTATAGAATTGCGTGTATCTTTTTATAGAATTTGTGTATCTTTTTATAAAATTGTGTGTTTCTTTTTTATAAAATTGCGTGTTTATATTTATAGAATTGCGTGTTTCTATTTATAGAATTGCGTGTTTCTATTTATAGAATTGCGTGTTTCTATTTATAGAAGTTTCTGTTTATAGAATTGCGTGTTTCTCTATATAGATTTTTCTAATTATAGAATTGCGTGTTTCTATTTATAGAATTTTCTATTTATAGAATTGCGTATTTCTATTTATAGAATTTTCTATTTATAAACTTGCGTGTTTCTATTTATAGAATTGCGTATTTCTATTTATAGCATTGCGTGTTTTTTTATAGAATTGCGTGTATCTTTTTATAGAATTTGTGTATCTTTTTATAGAATTATGTGTTTCTAGTTTATAGAATTACGTGTTTCTATTTATAGAATTGCGTGTTTCTTTTTATAGAATTGCGTGCTTTTATTTATATATACATGTATATAAATGAGTATCTGTATAATATTACAAAATATATAGATAAAACTAATGTGACAAGACAGACCGATTAAATTCATAAAAAGGAAACGTTTAGATTTGTTCCATCATTTCCTGTTTGCTTTTCGAAAAATTAAAATGTCGAACGTTGCCCCGCCCGGCGGGGGCTCTTGCTTTATTTTATTTTGATTTTAGAATCCGTCATAAACCCTTAAAGGAATGTTTTAAACTAATTGACATTCCATGCCTTATCAATTTTGTCCCCAAGATTTAAGCGAATGTTAATAAATCGACCCGATGTTCAATTTTGCTGCCCTACTCTGCCACGTTTTTTAAACTCTAAATACTTAAGCCCGCTAAGAGCCTTATATTATTATCTATATGGTATAGATCGATATTAAGCCTACACACAATAAAATTTAAACCTTTATGGTTATTGATTTACTTTTCAATCACTCTGCGATTGCATTACAATATAAATTTACTTTAAACTCTTTCAGTATATTTCAGATTTATTTGTTAAGAAATCAATACAGGGGAGAAACATTTTATATAAAGGTACATATTCTTTAATATATATTCTTTTGATGATTTATTTACTACATTCAGTCTATTCAGTCTATTTCTAGGTGCTCGACTCATATCAAGATATCACGTATTTTACAGTTATAGTACATATCGACGATACTGTTAAGTGAAAGCATCAAGTTGCACGTGGCTCAAATACAATGTCAGACGATCCTATTAGGAAAATGTGGTATACTTTTTTGTTTCTTAATTTTTCAAAATAAAATCGCGTATTTATTTGTTTTTTTTTTTATAAATATTTCTATAAACTAAAATGGCTAGCAAAGTCACTCCTATGTTTCATAAAATAAAACTGCACACAGACAAGACAAACACAATCTAAGGTTACATGAACACATATGCAATGTTTGTCTTTATAAATTTGTCATAAGATCAGGAAAATTTCTTTCAGTCCTCCAGAAGAGGAATTGGTTCTCCGAATGAATGCCATGTTCGGCAAAGGCGATTACGATCTTTTGTTCAACAATTGCCAACATTTTTGTACAAAACTGAGATATGGTATTGCCTTTAGCAGACAGGTACGTTATCAATCCCATTTCTATATTACAAACAGAAATGAAACTTGAATAAATGCCTTTAAGTTACATATATACGCATTGCTTGATTAAAACAAAAATATTAAGTAACATAAAGCTACTGTCAACGTCATGCACAGATAGAAATTATATAATCAAACCTGACAGACTTCAACCACTGTCAGAAAGGTATAAAGGAAAATTGGTGACTTAAGTTCTTAGAAGGACAGAAAGCTTAACCCTGGAAATCTCAACTTTAAGTACAGGACGGCAGTTTCACAGTTAATGAAGTACATAATTATTTATTCTCATCATTATTTTGTTCTTTTCAGGCTGAACTGTTAACAAAAGGAACTTTCTTAACACCCGCAGGACACGATTTTACAATCAAAAAGTAGTGTTTTTAGTGTTATTATAAACAAATATGAATATAAAGACAGACTTAATTTGGCTGACAAAAGAAAAGCTTCAAAAAACAAGGATCTTATTGTTATGGCTTGCAGTAAAACCACAATTAATAATACAAGCAAATTTGAAAAACAAGCACAAAATACAGTACTTTTTTTCAATACTGGTTTAAATGTCGTTTTTTTAATAATACATCTGTAGGAACGCAAATGTTACGACCAATAGCAAACATCTTTAAATGCCAACCACACAATGTAGTGCTCATTCCGAATACTGGCTAAAAGTTCTTTTTATTTAATACACCTACAGAAGTTAAAATTTCACAATAAAATACAAGCAGCTTCGAATGCCAGCAAAACAATGCTCTATCTTTACTCAATACTGGCTTCTTTAACAATTTAATTGATACATCTGTAGAAGCCCAAATGCCACCAACAATAACAAGCAGCTTTGAAAACAGTCACTAAATACCGAATTGACTTCAATCCTTATACATTTACACACACTCAAATGCCACAGACTATAACAAGCAACTGCCTTAAAAACCAGCCACAAATCCACATTTATTTAATACTGACATGTGTGCCGATTCTTTTGATAAACATGTAAAAACTCAAATGCCGCGAACAATAACAAGCAGCCTTGACAACCAGCCACAATACGCACAACATTTATTAAACCCGATACATCTGCAAAATCTCAAATGCCGCGGACACTCACAAGCTGCTGCTTTGAAAAACAGTCCATATTTGCACAATTAATTATTATCCAAATTGAATTTATATGACATGCATACAAAATTATTTGTTTCATCTGAAACTCATACGGCAAATTTGCACAAAATTCCTGCAGAATCTTTAGAAAACCAAATGCCGCGTAAAATAACAGACAAGCCTGCATCAAAATGCATAACCTTTACTCAATACTGGATACAATCTGATTTCTTCAATACATCTGTAGAAACTTAAATACCGCGAACAATAACAAGCAGCTGTAAAAACCATCTACAAAATACACAACATCTCCAATACCTGCGGTTTCTATCTCTATCTAGCTGATACATCTGTAAAAACTTAAATTACTGTTGATTGAAAGTAGAGTAATCATGGAAAATACTTTACAGAGGCATATTCTACATTTTTGCAACCAACGTTATTATCCCTCCCTTTAAATATTGTTGATACAGTTTTGTATATTGCTAGTTAATCAAAGTATTATGCTATACACACTGGCTCGTGCTTCTGCAGATGTTAATGCACGAGAATAGTAGCATAAACCCTATACTGTATTCGGTTATCCGCATATAGGATAAATAGATCACAAACTCACACAATTTATCAAACATGTTTCACTTAAATAAGCTTCATTAGTTGATATGATAAATAAGAAATGAAATGACGTAAACGTTTCAAACAAACGTCTACGTTAACAAACGCCACATTAGTTGTGTAAAAGAAACATTGTGAAATTATATCAATTACCTATTTCTGTTTCATACAATAAAATAAATACATTTGAGTATGTATACAAGTATATATAGACGTAATTATCAATCACACTCTAAAATTGTATTAATGGGGTATACTAATGGTCAAATCATCACTTTCCTTTAGTATATTGTATAAATTTAATAAAAGAAGTTGAATATGATCTATCTATTATCTATTCAACTTAGGGCTTATTGTGTTGATAATTAATTCACGTTACAGAAAAAAAAAATCAATGACCATATGAGTACATGACGAATATGTCCTGTATAAATGAAAACATCATAAAACATGCGTTCATAAAGAGAGGTTATTAAATTTTTAAATCATTGACATTAATAATGCATTTGTATCAATTACAAAAATAATAACATAACATATGTTTTATTAGTCTTAAGCACATTAACAGCTCATCGACATTTACATATAATATGACACGTATTTGCAGCATGCGTAATAATTATAATCTTATTTACAGACATTGAAAAAACACATACATTATACACAAAGTACAACGGCTACACACAATAATAAACATCGAGAATGCATATACTTTTTACATTTTTACTTTGTATCAATTACAAAAAAATAATATACAATCATAGATTCAATAAATGGTCATAAATTTGAAAAGTCATTTAATACCGATATGTACTGTCAATGATATGAATGCGTTTGTAAAGAGATTTTAGTATATATATACCTGGAAAATGATTCTAAAATTCATAGAGTACTTTTGCATAGTACTTTTGCATGAAAATCTTTTGGACAAAATGATTCCAATTTTTAGATCCAATATGTCCCTTTCAATATTCTCCCCATAGTATCGTAACTTTATCTATTGACACGCTTATATAAATATAATAGTTCATCTTAAATGTGTCAATATTTAATAATAATTATTATGTAATTCAATTACATCATAGATATTAAATATTACACATAAACCAAGAAACTCATACTCAAGCATTAAAGCACTATCGAACATCAACAATGTCTCAAAATCAAAAGGTAATACATACTCTTTTATGTAAACAGAAAACTTGTTCTGTTCATTACATTTGCATGATATGTAAGCCTATTTTATCCGAATATATTTAAGCAAAGTAAATCTTATATCTTTTACGGGTTAACAAATAAGGCTATATAAAATTGAACAAAGGTAGTGTTTAATTTGCAATAAAAAGGTTTTAAATTGAAAACACAATTTCCTTTCAAATGTATTTGGTATGAAATTGCATGATCAAACTTAACGACAACTGATATATCGCAATCATTGATGTGAATTTTAATTTATTCATATCATGTACAGTTATATAACATCACAACTACAGAACATTAGAGTATTGTCATTTCAAATGATGTTTTGTTTCACATTTCACACTATTTAATTGAACGTCGTAAAAACATCGTGTGCTAATTCATAGCTTTTTTTTTACATTAGTAACTAGTATTTGTTTTGCTTAGAAAGTTTTTAATTGTTTTAAGATATATCGGATTTTAATGTTTCTGTTTTTCCTTTAAGCTAAGACTAAAACTAAAACAAATATTTGATAAAAACATCTACGTTTTTTGTTCTCCAGAGCAAACACGTGCTTTATTTGATCGCTTACAGGTCTTCTGTCGAGCGTCTTGTTTTCTGTTGTTGTTTTTTTGTGGATTGGTAAACTTTTTAAACTCAGTCTTTTTTATTTTAAATTTTGACATTATGTCACAGAAATTATCGTCTTGTGGTTTTCAGTTTTGTCTTTTAATTTGATAAAATCTTGGTCCCTTGGTGGGGAACGAGATAAACAATCCTTTTACATATAATATTGCTGTTTTCTGTTCTTAAAAGGTATATTGTTTGAAAAAGTAATGCCACTAAAGATCTAAAGATATATTGGTCAAACTTTGATAATGTTTACACGGAATAATTCATAGTTATTGTTTGAAGTTGTTTTGAATTGATGAAGAATTGTGTTATGTCCTATTTAAAAAATGAATATAGGAACACTTCTTAAAGAACGTGTGTGTTTGAATTTGATATTATTTTATAGAAATATGTCACATACATGTTGATTAGTGAAAAACATGGCCAGTAGGAGACCATGTCACTTTGTTTTGTATTTACAGCAATCAACGATTTTGTTTTTGATAAATGCATTATGTGTTCGTCATCTTAAGATGTATTGAAATAAAACTAATATTCAAAAGACTTACTTGCAAGACAATAGGATGATTTTGTGCTTGCCTTGTATTTTAAAGTGAAAACGTAGCAAATATTCATAGAAAAAACGGCATCCCGAATGAACTTCCAAAACGACAAACTATCATTTTGTATTGTATTGCGTATCTAAAATGACCTTAACATTTTCTAAATGGTTAGAACACATAGACACAAAAAACATTTTCTTAGAACTATTACTCAGAATTTGAATAATTTTGAGTAACTAACTTTTGTATTTTTTCATCAACTAAGTCTAGGCATACGTATTTGATTTATCAACTTAAAGCTTGACAGAGTGATAGAAAGAAAATGTAGGGGAAGTAAGATCTTCAAGAACAATTACCATCTTTTGTTTAATTTTGGAGTTATAGTCCTTTGTAATATTTCATACTTACATGTCCTTTTTGTCTAAATGTGTTGGATATATCAACTTGAAATTTAACAACTTTGTTTGTCTTAATAGAGATAAGCAAACTGTTAAAGAATATATACACGTTTGTAATTATTACCTTTTGTTGACCATGCCTCAGATTACATCACTTGTCTCTTTGTAAGTATTTTAATCTATCATACTTATTGAGATGTAATATTTATAGATGTCAAAAATATGTTAATGTCTGTATATCTCTAAAAATATCCTATTGTTTTACACAGCTCTCTTTGTTTGTATCACAAAAGCGCCCTGGGGTTCTTAATATTCAGAAGCTTAAATCAAGAAATTTGTATCATTCGTTGATGGGCATATCAATTTAACGACTTTACCTATTTCTATATATGTGTTGTTTTATTTTATTTTACTTTTAAAACCCCAATTTTCTAATTCTTTTACCCATGATATCAGTTTTGTTTGGTTATCATTTGTTTATAGAATTTTATATGCACTGAAGTTGTTTTACACGTGGAAAGCTTAAAATTGTTATCATTTTAACAAATGCTAATGTAACATTTTACTAAGCAAATATTGTATGAAAGAAAAAGAAAAATAATAAAGATTTTTCTACAATCATCGTGTTGTTTTGAATTCTGACTACTGCATACTTATCAAATACATTAATGATCAACAATAACCTCTAAAGGTATTTATTTTTGTCAATATCTAGTGTAGCACAATAAGTTCAGGAAAAGTTAGGAGTAAGGGACAACCACATAAGCGATCAAGTTCAGTGCCAGCCGAGTATCTTACGTTATGTATTTCAAAGTATAGATTTTAACTACCGTAACAATTGACATTTTCACATGAAACGCTGGAAACGATTCATGCTGTTTCATTCATTTTTAAATATGTTGTACGCTCTTATATGACTCCCTTCTCAACGACAAAACAGAAAGAAAATACCGACAATATATGCTAATGGTATGAATACAATTTGTAACCTAAGGACAATAAGTCGATATGGTATGCAAGTAGTGACTCTTCAACCAAAGTTGAAGAATACCCTTGGTTCTGTCATTTGAAAATTGTACTTATCATCTGGGATAGTATTCGTCATTTAGATAAAAAGCTAATTGAAAGTCAAAACGTTTTACGTAGTGTAGCTCTTACCCACAGACATGATTTTAAGTACAAATATTTACAGACATCTTTTAATGAAAAAAAATTATTGCCCTTCTTCATTTTTTATAATGAAATCTAAATGTTTTAAGCTATAATACAGAACAGCTGCTATTGAATACTTTGGGCATTCAAATCATTTTAAAGTTTGACCATTTGCTAATAGCTAAGAGAATCTAAACATCTTGAACTTGAAATTTGTTTATAAATCACTGCCATTTAATTTTAATTTCATTTCTATTTTCTGTAAAAATGATATTGTAAACCGTAAACCAAGATAATATATTTAACGGTTTAACGATTTAAAATATGTTGAAGCAGATAATCTTATCTTCAAAATATGTTTTTGCTTTTAAATTACTCATTTGAATATGCGAATAGGCAAAAGGGGAATCCACATACTCATATGGTAACATAGTCTTATTCAGTATTATAAAATTGGGCAGAAACTTCATCAAAACGTGACGGTAATCAGACATAAGTTGAGGGAGTAAAGATCACATTGAACTGAACTTATTTTATACGCTTTATGAACCGCAGATGAGTTATCTTGAAAACAACCTGCAAGTCACTTAACGTCCTATATTATCATAACTTTATTTTAACTGGATTGGAAATTCGTTTATTGATTGAATTTTATGATGCTTTAAAAGTACAATGTTTGATTTGAGTGATTTCATGTTTATAGACGGCAAAAATTATAAAGTAATCAGCAATTTACTATTGAGAAACTGAGTCTGTGGTTGCTTTTTAATACCGTAGATTAGAATAAGTGACATGTAAAAGTGTTAAAAAGTTTATGAAAGGGTCATTACACAAAATAAATGCTATTTCATTCACATATATAGTTTTCAAATTATAAAATTAATGGCTTGTTAAATTAGTGGCATATACGAGTAATAACGGTAAACGGACTCGGCAAAGAACAATAGAAAATGTTACATAAATACCGACATTATATCATTAATTGCTTGTTATATGGTACAAATAAAAACGGCTACCTATGTTTAATATATTGTCTAGCTTTTATCGCATTATGTTTTTCTCGCATGGTATTTCTATAATTTATCAATCAGATAAAGACAAGTTAAATGTTGATGCTACACATCAAAGACGCCGCCAAATGATGTGAATCAGCATTGAAAATCGTTCTCTATTACAGTTGAATATCCGAAGCACAGATCAATTTTTTCTACATGTTCTTGGTATGTGCTCGTTGTTTAATAATAAAGTTACATATGTTTGTGAAAAAATAGAACCTAATGCATAAATTCACAACGTAATGCCTTGTGTGAAATTCTTAAATGCTTGTCTGTTGCGACAAAGATTGAAATTGGATAAAAAGTTAAATTGAAATGATTGGAATACTTAAAATAAATTCAAGACAATATGTGCCGATAATATATCCATTTAAACATTGGTACGAATTGCATAATGTTCGAATGATTTTGAGGACGAACTGTTCTGCAGTGATCTCCCCTTACTGGTTGTAGCGTAACGAGTTTTATGTTGCGGGAGAACCGCCTCTCTGATAGTGGGCGTGGTTTACGCTTTGTGACTTGTAATGTAATGATTTGACAAGTGATATTGATCAAAATTGTCCTGGTTCCCTTCCGCCCCGTCAACGAAGACTAAATTCTAGCATACGTAGCATCATATTAAACTTTCGCGACAATTTAAGGCGGAGCCGAACTTCAACAGAGGCGGAGCAAATGAAGTAAGTGCAACTGCAGTCGTAATCTCTTTCAACGGTTTAGTTTTAGACCGATCGACTAAAGACTAGCTCATTGGCAAGTTATTTGTTATGTAGATAAAATTAGATAATGATAAAACGAATATGATATTCAAACATGGCACTTTCATTTCAGTTAGACGTTTATTCTATTCCCTTAAAGGTCTGTGACATGTTGTACATCAGAAAAGCTATTTTATTAGAAAATTTGAGAACAGTGTGATTTTGTTAAAACAAAAATAATACACAAAATCAAGTCTAAAATTTTCCCCATTGCTGTATGGATAAATGCATATGTACTAGACGCCACTTTCAAGCGGCGTCTAATAACCGCTTATACTTAAACATAATTCTTTTCAGATTTCGACAGTCATACAATCTTTTTACAGTAAAATACACCTACACCATAGTTCGCGTACATTGTTTTGGCTTAATAGTACCAGTTGCTTTTAAATTTAGTCCTTTAGATAAACTTGGCATTAAATCAATTGCCATCTTTCTGAAATGCACATCAAATAACGTTATGGCCCTCTTGTTTTCAAGTCTTTATTTATGATGAGAGCAGCGAATACTTGTAGGTTGATACTGATAAAGAACTTGGGTAACATAGATTGTTCTGTCCTGTTGATAATTTAATTCATGTAAACAAAGGACTTTTTTTAGCAATGTCGATTACCGACACACTTCAGCGCTTATTACACAAATATATCTGACTGTCGAGTAGTGAAATATTATGTTTGGGCGAGATTATTTTCGCTAAATTGTTTGGGCGAGAAGATTTTCGCTAAATTATTTACATCGGTGTTAAAACAACAGATTTACCGTGAACAAAATATTTATATGTCGAAATTCATAAGGATTACAAACCCTAATTAGAATGATATGTTTGCTTTATATTTTTGTCTTATAAAAAAAATCCCCGTGGACCAGGGGTAATACGCTCGTTTAGGAGTTGAGAGGACTGGGGTTCAAATATATTTATATATTTTAAGTGTCTTTTTTGAGATTTTAAGATTTTAACATTCTTTCTTAAGGAATTAGCAACGATATGCAAGGATAATGTGTGACTGTCATAAAAACGTAGAAATGATTGCATAACGCAAGTTCATGCAAAATTCTGTATGTATCAAAAAATCAAAACTCAGTCGCTGCAACTCGGTGCCCAGCAAGATGAATGAAAAGTTATAAAATGTGCACGTGCCAAACGATTGCATATTATGTCAATTTTTATGTTTATTAAGTAAGCAAGCGTTTATTCTAGTCCAATTTTATATTTTCCAATCCAATATATATATAATAAAAAAAATCTGCTTGGTAAGCCTTAAACACAAAAGCCGCACATTCTGAACCTCTAGAAATGAATTGCGTGTTTCGAAAGTTAAATTATAGGCCATATCATGTGACAGAAAGTTTATGTTGTATCAAGTATCATGTGACAGTTTATGGGTTAACCGTTCAATAGAAAGCAAACTTCAATGTAATTTTGGTGTGTTTTTATGAACCAATTACAACAGAATTGTTGATTTAGACACGTAAATATACTTAAAATCATTGTTTGTTTTGGGAAATCTTACGTCACATATGAAAGTTTGTTCACATGTTGTTCTTGTTTTGCGGGCCTGTGATTAAGAGATTGAGGCCCATATATAAGAAAACAGAACCTTGAAACCTGTTCGATATCATAACAATTTAAGAATGTTTCGTTTTCAAACGTGCGTAAAAATATGGTTTTAATTTTCCTAAAAACTGGCGTTAAATTACGTTAAATTCATAAACGATTGCTTTCATGTGGCTTATTTCGTAATCTGTATTTATTCGGACGTATTTTTGAAAACAAAACTTTCTTATATAATTGATTCAGTTCCATTTCAGTCTATCTTACATAATCTCTGTAACTGATAACTTTATAGATACTGCTTGTTTATACCAAATCATTGTTAAATTTAAATCAAAATATAAATGTACGTAGATATAAACAACAATATATTTTCATGATGGACAAAGCTGTTTACGTATTGTGACTATAAACTAAATTTCAATAAAAACACAAAGGAAGCCTCCGAGTAACATTTTACGCAGAGAATGACTTGTTTTTTTTTTTCAAAAGTTGGCCAATTTTAGTTTTGTATCACAATTTTGATTTATAATATTAGATTTTTTTTCTCGGATAAATTGTATCTATATGACAGAGTGATACCATCATGTCAATTTAATTAACTCTTATTCGCTGCTGAAACCGGAAGTAGCATGCCTGTACCATCAGTATATAGCCAGGCTACCAAACACAAGCATGATTCGTAAAATTTGCAAATCAGTTTTTCTTTATTTTGGTATTGAAATCCGTTATTAAACTTTAAAAGGAATATTCTAAATTAATTGATAATCAGTCCTAATCTACTAGTGATGTTGAGGCAAATACCCTCGTTGTTATCCTTTATTATTCAAGCCAATGTTTTTAGCGACTACTCTGCCACATATTAGAGGGACTCCAATGAAAAAAAGAAAATAGGAATCTGAAAAGAAAGCCCAAAACGGCAAAATTGAAAATGTTACAGGCTCGGTGGACTACCGTTAATGCGCCCTATCGCCGGCTTAAGCAGACAGAATTCAACAATAAAACATGAAAATGGTGACATTAAAATTCAGAAACATCCGAGATGTGAAGTCTATTTTTATTACATGAAGGGACTGAAAGTATATGTCCGAGATTTGTGAACCATTAGATGGAGGTTTAACCAATTAATCATGTACCAATTTTCAGCTCATTCCCAACCTGGTTTTCCAATATAATAATTTTTTCTCGTGCATAATGACCAAAAAATTGCAATTCTTTTCTCTCAAATTTGGCTAATCATCGCATAAAAACTGATATTCAATTTGATTCGGAGAATATTTCTTTATTGTCCTTTGCAGATTTTTCCTTTTTGAAGTGTTTTACTTTATCTATGATTTTATTTTCAAATGCTATGTTTTAGACGTTTTGGCCTACGTAGAGCTACAATAACCTCGAAATACAATTATCCGTTCAGAGCCTCTTTAAACAAGAACGATTCTAAATTTATTTGGAAGGAAGTCTATAAAAACGATAACCCAAACCTGTTTTTAAGTTTATTGCTTTTCTTTCAACCGCCTGCAAGGATATTACTGCGGCTACGACGCAATTAAAATTTAGTTTAAAATATTTAAAAATCTTTTGATAAAAATGTTAAAAGTAGATATTTGATATAAAGGTAAATATCATATTTTACTTCCGATTTAATTATAAGTAATAAAATAATACTACTACTATTTAATTAGTATATTAAATATAATCTATTTTCCTTCAGTCTTTTTTTGTTGTGCATGTCCCGTTACTCAGGAAATAATCACGTAATTTAGATAAATTAATTGTAGTATATCGTTTAACTATATATCATATATGTATAAGTAAAAAGTTTATATAGTTTTAGTATAATATTTTGCAGTAGCATGGCATTCAAACGAGCTTTTTCTTTTATTTCTTTAAATGTTCAGTTGTTCTAGAACATTGATAGTTAATAAACCTGGCTATTGTTTTCTATGTTGAATGTGTTTATTAAATGATTTATTCCAGTTTAACATATGATAAGTAATAGAAAGAGCATCGAAACCCGAGGCTATCTGATTTGTGCGAGGGGGCGTAGCCCCCGAATATTAATCAGATTGTCGAGTGTTTTGATGTTCTTTGGTCAAAAATAAAAACACGTTCCCTGATGTCACAATATGAAACCCCAGAAAAAAGGAACCAATGAACGAGAATCTGCATAATATGATATTTCTATCGCTTTCCCTTTCTCCGTCGTCACAATATGTAAACCTCAGACAAAATGAACCAATCAATGGGCATGCTCTGCAGTGCGGGTAACTAATACCTGCATTCCAGTTAACGCACTATGCGTGTATATGTATACGATTTAACTCTAACACTTTTTAACAGAAAACTCTCCAAACTATGATACAACTGTATTCAATGTACTTGACGTTTATTTATGTGATGATAAAATTGTAATTTTGAACAATACGTCTTAGACTTAGCACCATTAACAGGTTTAAACTCCCCAGCAGTATTTATGCTGCTGACCGTTCCAAGGCGGCGCCCCTCTGTGTTCCTCAGATGTATGTCTATGTTGTTTTATACTGTTTTGGTGACACTTTTGTGTCTCTTGTTGTTTTCTCGTCTACGGTAAGTATCTTCCCCTTTGCCCCTAGTTTTTATTTATTTTATTTATCCCCCCCCCCTTCCCCGGGTCTCATGTCCCCTTCCCCTGTGCCTTTTGACTTTATGGGCCTAATATTCAATCATTTATTTGTTTTCTTTTAGTTCCTTATCAGTTACTAATTATTTATTCTTATGTAGTGGTTTGCCTGCCCGTGCTCTGCCTTGTGCCCTGTCCTGTTTTTGTTTGGGGTCCTCCTGGGCTCCTTGCCACTGGCTCTTGTTGCTGGGTCGGGTGGGGGCTGCGTTCATTGAACGCCGCCTTTCCTTGTTGATCTTGTTTATTATATTTTAACAGTGTTTTAGGGGGCGGGGAGGGGTCAGATTTCGAATAATAAGCATTTGACACGCAATAATATGCCCCTAGAAAAAAGTCGATAATATCAATTTATAAATACTTCATTTCTTTTATGATTACTTTTACTTTAACTCAAAGGAAAAGTCGTAAATCGTAAAGACATTAAATTTTTAATTGGTCAATTATTATACCATAGACCTATTAAAGGTAGTATGTCTTTGTAGGTGGTTGATACAATTTTTTTTTTCAATTATGCTTGTGACATCGAACAAATACATCAAACATTTTGCAAGGCACTGATAAAACAGTCAACTAGCAGCATGGTTATTTTTGGTGAGCTTTTAAGATATGAAAACAGATATGTACGGATAATCAAATTCTACCCGAATTTTGCAAATATTCAACTTAAATGCTGTAAATTTGTATTCTTTGAAGCTTTTGAAAACTCAGTGTATAGTTCATACAATGTTTCAATAAGCTTATTACTTTTAAGTTCGTTTATAATAAATTAATATGCAAATTGTCGTGTTATATATCAATTATTCCATGAAATATTCGATACACTTTGGCAGTGAGTTAGTTGTGTAAAATAATATGAGCCGCGTCATGACAAAACCAACATAATGGGTTTGCGACCAACATGGATCCAGACCAGCTTGTGCATCCGCGTTCAATATTCCCTTCATTTATTTGTCTTATCAAACTGTGATTTAAAAATATTTATTTAGCCCATCCAGAATGGTTAAAGTAAGTGAAGTGTTTTTTTCTAAATTTAAACAGGATGATATCAACTCTATATATTCAATAGTACTTTATATAATGCAAAGCTATTTTTAGATTATGTCACTGTTTATACTGCATAAATACATAGTTACAGAAAATCATTTGATTTAAAATTTTAAAATTTCATTAGCAATTCCATACATAAGCTTTATTCTTGCGCTTTGTTCTTGATAAATCACTAATTAAATGCAATTAATTGAGTGTCATTTTTTATACATAAAAGTTGAAAGATAACTTTAATAAGCTATACCCCTAACTATTTGAATGAACATATAAACAAAATAAGTATAGAAAGCACCATATCTAGCTTATTTAATATTCATATAATTCTCTTATATGCTTTTTTTTTTGAATTAAAATAGTTTTTGTAAAAATTGTAAAAATACTTTGAACATTTTATTTTGTATTTTGTCAGCATCATTAGGTTTGACACATCTAGATTACTGCTATGTACTACTTTCCTCTAAGGCTTGAAGAACATAACACTCATTTTCACTTTAAAACATATATGCCCGAACATTCCTATAAATATTTTAACAATTGGAACTGTATCTATGTATTAATTTTAGCGGGAATGGAGGGGGTAAGAAAAATAGAACAGCAATGTCTACAACTAAACCAAAGTATGTTTGTAAGTGTCTTCTTACAGAGAGTTATGGTTAACAATAAATACAGCTTCTTTTCGTCATTCTTTTGCAGATTTTGCCAAACTAAACTGTTTTTGTTATTACGAAAGTTAATTTTCGTAATAATTCAAATTTAAATTTCTTGTCTTTAAAGTCGGTAAAAGTTACAAATCTGAATTGCCAAACAATGTTAATTATACTTATTAACATATTATTGGTTTATTCAATAGAAATAATAAGCCTACAATATAGTTAACATGAAATATGAAAGTTTAGAGTGTCTGTGTACCCATTTTGTGAAGGAGTTCACGTTAATTTGAATTCTACAAGCGTAATATTTACACAGCCATTTACGAGACTCTACGAAACGTGCATATGACAATATGTTTTCAATAGTATCAATGTAATTATGATTGATATATCTAAAACTGATATTTGTCTAACAAGATATAAAGGTTATCGGTATTTGTCAAGAGGGTGAAAACCGAAAATTGAAATACCTCTACAAGTATTTATGAACATTTGATCTACTGCCGTACTTGTAATGAAAAAGTAAGGTGTAAGAACCGACGACGTAAGCGACCATTTCTAGCGCTACCCAAGTGTATTTAGATATGTGTTTCAATATTCAATAATGTATTGACATTTTCACAAGAAATGTTTGATACGATTTATGCTATTTAGTTCTTTGGTTTCACATTTGTTGTACGCTCATATATGACTCCAGTCTCAACGAACGTATACAGAGCAGAAGATAACCACAATCTAGGCTTCTGGTATGAATAAACTGTATTAATTAACAATTGATAATAAGTCGATATGGTATGCAAGAAGTGACTCATAAACGTATCTTCCTTTGCAGCTGGAGTTGTCAAATATCCTTTGTGCTGTCCTTAGCTACGTACACAAATGATTGTAAGTACAAATATAAACGTTTATCTTTTATTGAATGTTAATCTTTTCATAATGATATCTATATCTTAGAAATGTTTTAAGCTATAATACAGAAATGTTTTTGAAAAATTTTGGGGATATAAATCTTTTTGACCATGTGTTAACAGCCGAGACTATGTAAACATCTTCATGTCATATTGCACTCGAAATATGGTAACAAATCAATGCCATTTTCTTTTAGTTTCATTTCTGTTTTCTGTAAAAAAAAAGGTATGATAAACAAAGAGTTTATATTTAACTTTTATACACATTTAAAGTGAGTTAAGGCGGATGATCTTACCTCTAACAATTGTTTATGCTTTACCCATTTCAGTATGAAAATACGTAAAAGGGGAGTCTATAGATTAATATGGAACCATAGTCTAGTTCAGTCTTATAAATTATAATAAGAAAGAAACCACATCAAAAAGTGACGGTAGTCAGGCATAATTTGTTGGTATGATATCACACATGATAAACTGGCCTTATTTTATACGCTTTATGAATTGTAGATGAGTTTTATCTTGAGAAAAAGTCAAGTCACGAAATGCCCTATACTATCATACATTTATTTTCACATAATCCTTTTGTCCATCGATAGAGAAGATATTATTTTCCACGATGATGGTCAATTCAACGTCAATATTAACAACGCAACAGGCGAAATAAACATTAAAATTATCGCCGTTTTACTCCATTCTTTACAAAATCATTTGACAAATTCAAACTTGGCTCCCAAATTTGCCGTATTAAAATGCGCTGCGCTTTTTGAAAACGGCAAAGCTGGGAGCCAAATTTGAATTTGTATAACAAAATAGAAATTCATATCCTACTGTTAAGAAAGTATTTAATGTAAAATCCAACCTTGTTAAAAAGCATTTGACCGATATATCAGCAAATATTATGAATAATCATGAGTTATAAATATCCCTATGAACTGGCAAAGACACAACAATGAAAAAAGATAACAAACAGCGGCTTTTTGGTATACGTCGAACCTTAAAAAAGTACTATGTCTTATAAAATAGTATGATAATTGACGTCATGATTTCATATAATAATACCATAAATTAAAAGGCCGTCCGCGGTTACATCTATTGAAACTGTTTAATAACGAAACATATTCAAGCAACAAAAGAAAAACGTAAATTCTTTTTTTCTTAGACAACTCTACTTCCTTTTCCATTTTGTTCACTAAATAGCCACTTAGAACTTAGATATGTACGGGTTACGTTGAAGTATAAATACGCAAATAAGAATTTATTGATATCTGCACTTACATGACAGCGGAAAAAAAGAAAAAAAAGAAACAACAACAACAAAAACAAATGTATGTGTACGTTATACTTTTTTCCAAGACACATGTACTTATAGGCATTACAGCTGATGGACTGACAAAGGTATATTAAATTGCATTAATGTATCATAGAATATACTTTCTTCCATGCAATATGATGAGTATGTGTTTGAAATACATTAACGGAACGAAAGAGTCATAATTCTCAATTCGAAATGAGTAAAATCACGATTTTATTAGCCACGCGCGATATGAAAACCATTCGTGTAAATAGGCCCTCTTAAGCACAGAAGAACGGACGTACAGAGGGTATTTTAATTTTGATTTTCATTTCTTGCATACAATATAATATAAACAGTATTATTTTTATTGTTTTAAATGATTAAATGTTCATGTATGCGTAAATACAGTGTCTATTTTCCAATATTACTACATCATTAAATTAAGTATCGAAACAACACCAGTTTCATTGCTGTAATTTTCTATTCGTCACACGTAATGTCAAAGTCTGATATTTTGCACAGCGCTGATTTCTTATCATTGTGCATAATCCATCGCTGTTTGCATATATCCACTGACCGACAATTTCCAAGGCAAGTCCATGTGTACTCTATTTGCATATAAGTCTAAAAAGTAGAATGTACAAAAGGACATTACATGAAATTAATATTTCCTCCGGCTTTTCCAACAGTAACTACAAATTTATCAAAAAAGGATTCACATCACAAAACATGATTTACGAGTCAATGGTAACAGCAAATGATGGTGGTTATGATATTTATGATGGCAACGACTGCGGCAATGATGACGATGATGATGAAGATGATGCTGATTATGAGTAACACTATGGTAACAGTAAATTTACAGTGTGAATGCTTTTTGAAAAATTGTGTGAAATATTTTTGCAATAGACTTACAATGGTAAGTTTTTGTCAGGGTCTTGCTATGGTGGCAAAATTACGAATGAAAAATTTAAAAATAGCACAGTCACATATAAAGTTTGTGTTAGAATAATTTCAATATCTTTAATGTTTTAATTAAAAGTGCCATACCAAACTAGCCATTTCAAACTTTGGATGCATGCTTACTAAACAATAGTTAGGGAAAAACAACAGCAACATCAACAACAACAACAAAGAAGCCCAGTAAAATTTGAACTTTGATTAATGATTTATTTCTTACTTACAATACTTGATTGAAAATTTATATATTATAACGTAACATCAATAGTTTTTTACTTGTTGAAATAAGGTTATTTTTACAAAAAATAAAGTCTAACCTATATTTGCTGATGAGTGTCACGTAGTTTATTCTTTAGCGGACGGTATTTATATCAATGTTTATATACTTTCACTATTTGTTTTATCAAGCTGTGATTCAGTTATATATATTTAGCCCATCAAGAATGTTTAAAGTGAGTGAAATGTTTCTAAATTCAAACAGGATGATATCAACTCTATATGTACAATAATACTTAATATACTTTTAAGTTTATTTTAATTTATGCTTCCTGTTTATAAAATACATAGTTACAGAAAAAACTATACATTTAATTTTTAAAGTATACATTTTTCTTTAACAATTCCATAAACACGTTTCAGGGATGTTATATTTTCGATCCTTAAAGATCGTTCAGCACGGCGTTATTGTTGTGCTTGTGGTATTTCAGTTCTTTCTATTCGGCATCTTTCTTGTTGGGTGGTTCCAGTATTCCTCAATTGAATACTGTTGAATCACCCTTAGGATATGTGGCCTTTTTTAAATTTGTCTTTTGACGTCAAATCTGTGATATGCAGGCTTCATAACCTCAGATCCCCTTTCAAAATTCCATTTTATTTAGCTCCGCCCATTGTTTTCTCGTTTAGGGCACACGCATTTTTTTTTACTTTGGGACCATATGTCGCTTTACATGGAATGGCACTAACGTGTGCGGATGTTTCAAAATTCTAAATTTTACCAGTTCATGTTAAATGTTGAATTCTGCTTAAGCCGGTGCTAGGGGGCGTGGACGGTATTTTGCAATAAACAGTACCGTCATGGCAATCAAACCGAGCCTGCAACATTTTCATTTTTGCCGTGTTGGCCTTTCTTTAGTGATTCTTATTTCTCTCTATTTTATACTTTCGCTTTGTATTTAATATGTCACTCGATCCACACATTGAATAATTTGGCAGTAATTCTTTTAATGCATAAAAGTTGAAATATTGCTTTGACTAGCCATGATTCTGATTACTTAAATGAATCTTTAAGCAAAATTAGTATATTAAGTATCTCTATGGCTTATAGAATATCTATATAATTTATGTTATAATGTATATAGTTTCCTCATTGAATGATTACAGTACAAATAAATAAAAAGACGTTGAACATTTACTTTTGTATTTTGGCAGCTTTATTAGATTTAACACAAAAGGATGGATGCTAAGGATTTAACCCTTCGGTTGCAAGAACCTAAAACAATATCTGTATCAGACCTAAAGTTTGGAGATATTCTAGAATTTGAAAGGACATTAGGACCTTTTATATATTATCATTGTGGAATATATGCAGGTATTATTTGTTTTACTGATAAATGATAACTTTTTTAAAGTTTAATACTATTACGTTAAATATGAATAGAATAAAAAAGGAAAAAAATAAATAACTATAAAGCCATAATTCCAGATTGTTTTCGGTTTAACAGATCGGAAAGAATGGAAAAAATACTGTAATAATTAGTTACTAATGTATTTTAGGAAATAAAATGGTTATTCATAAAGGAACGGCTTACTGGTTAAGTACATGGCAAGCTTTAGATGCAAAACGGAAACATGATATAAAATACCGAATAGATCGGATTGAAGATGTAGCAAATGGCTCAAAAGTTTATAGAAATAACATGTTGGACGAGGTCATCAGCAGGTAAATTTAAATCTTTAATGTTTCTTAATTTCTATGAAATAAATGGACTTTCTTCTAATCCACACGTGCCAAAGAAAAGTTATGTACACACTTAGAATGTTTGTGAATTTATATTCAGTATCATTTAATTATATGTTCAAAAGAAATATTCTTTCAGGCCTTCAGAAAAGGTATTGAAACTGCGAGCGATGGCTTTGTTCGGTGATGCCGATTACGATCCATTTTTCAACAATTGTCAACATTTTTGTACCTATGTGAGATATGGCATCACCTTTAGTAGACAGGTACATAATCAATTATAGTTTTTAGATTACTATAAACATACATGAAAGCACACGCACGCACGCATATTGCTTGGTTTAAAATATAGATACATACACTTTAAAAGCTATAAACAATTAAAAGTATTAAGTCTTACCAGAAAAGTTTCACCTACTGCGAGAAAGGTATATTGTATTAAGAAAAAAGGCGGAGCTTTAAATCCGACCTTTGAAAATCGGTCAAGCTTATTCCAGCAATATGACGGTAATATGGTGAACATTTAAGTAACCATAAAAATTGCTATATTTTCTTTTCTTTATTATTTTTACTTTTCAGACGGACATTTCTACAATATGGACTACTATTACATCCACAAAATACGATTATACAAAAGAAATGGTCCAAGTTTTATTCGATGATGACGATTTGAATCTCGCAAGAAGAGATGGGATAAGCAAATCTTTCATAGAAAATAAAAGATTTGATTCATCTGTAGAAAACCAAATGCCTCGAACAATAACAAGCAGCTCTGAAAGCAAGCCGCAAAAAGAAGTACCAATTCTTAGTACATGCATTACTGGCATTTTATTTTTAACCCAAACTTTGCTAACGGTAACAAACACCTTTGGAAAACGGCTGATAAGTTGTACACCCTCATGCAATTCCAAAGGGTTAGAAAATTACAATTCAACACAAATAAACATTTATATGCTAATTATAAGCTTCTTGACAGTGTTTATCATTTTTCGAAAAGTATTGTTTGGTAAAAAAAATTAAAATGTTAAAGAGTGCCAAAAATACGTTAATAGAAAAAGACTGTTGCAGTCTCTGGTTCAATGAGCATGTTTATGACGGTAGAGGACAATGCAAGCTACAATCAATATAAATTTCGAAGTTTTAACTATAAATTTGAAAGTAATCATAGAAAATACTGTATAAGGCGAGTTCTCTATTTATTTCGATACGTGATAAGAACTCCCTAGAATTCTGTTATATATTTTTAGATATGCAAGGAAATGTGCTTTTCATTGATAATTCAGAAGGATCATTTTTTCTTGACAGTTTTAATGTTTTTAATATGCGTGAACCAGGGCGGTACGTTAATATATAGCTTACTGCAATGATGGTTCCGATTAGTTCATTATAAAAACATAATACAAAAATATGAAAATGTCGTATATCGTACTTAATCTAGTCTCAATTTCATGGTAAAAAAAGCATACGAGTTCCATCAAGCTTCTTTCAAATGTAAAAGAAATGTGAAATAAAGAGGTCATTAAACAAAGGTGACAACACAACTATTTTAGTGGCTCTTACAATGCTGCAAAACATGTATCAGCCTTGGTTAGCGACTCTTTTACATATATGTATTGACAAACAAATTTAAATGTGGATGTATTTCTGAACAAATGTGAATAATTGGGCGATAGGGATATCAACTGATAATTGTGTTCCATTATTTAACATTACTTGTTGGTTTGTTTGGTTGGTTTTACGGCACACAAACACAGTATATATCATATGGCGCCGAACAGGGAAACTTTCAAATTTCAAAGCAACAACAGGGGTCTTAACAACCACACCAGCTGGAGCTAAGAGATGCAGAAACTTCATTAATTAAAACCAATGTAATCACCTCAGAAGGCACAAGCGGATTACACTATCTGTAAAACATTGAAGTATGCCCTTGATATCAGATTCGTATTAATTGCTATCGTTGTTTGTTTTGTTTTGTGTTATATATGTAAATATATCCACATTGTTTTAAACAATACGGGAACAAAGAATGAGGCAGAACCTTTTCCGATTTTTATTACAATTATATATATTTGCAAAACAATTATAATAATTATCTTCCGGTTTAACCCTTAAAATTCGTTGCCAAAAATCCAGCTTTGTTGATCTAAATTGAATTGAACACTTTGTTTACGGACAAATTACAATTGTATTTCTTTATATGTAAACTCGAATGTTGCATTATTGGATTGAGTTTGCCGATTTAACATTGTGAATATGCATTTCAACAAAATACATTTTGTTAAACGACAAAACATAAACTGTTTTGCTGATAGTAGCAATAGCAAGTGTTCATCTTAACATGCGGAATACTTATTGTTCGTGTATACGCCGATAAAACAGAAGGAAACAAGAACACGCACCGGCATAGTTTCCGTTTACCACACCTTTTAGGTGTAAACATAATTCACTTGCATGATTGCCATTCTATGCCTTCATACAATCAACATCAGTGGACTTTAAAGGATTATAGGCATATAAGTTTTAAAACGTTGTAGATACCATATTTCCTAGAAAAAGAAACTAAAAAAATAATATAAAAAAACTCACCAGGTTACTTACTGCCTGAGGTTAAACATGTTTCAAGGAAGTAAAAACTATTGATAAGACTGTATTCAACGACAATTAAATTTTACTGAGGGGATTTCAATTTGCATAGGAATGAGTAACATTTACAGTTAAGCTGCTACCTTACCACTTTCAAATTTTAAAGTCAACATCTGATAGAGATTTTGATACGACTAAATACTGATACAGACCAAATTCTGGCTGTTGTCTTTCCTAGAACTAGCATTCACTATGACATTAGTAACCCTAATTCTAGCGTATGACTTGACAAGAAAAAACTTTAACAATAATAAAATTAAAACCAAAGTTGTATGTACCTTTTCGTATTGTTCAGTTCTCTTTATTCGTGTTGCCAAAAGTGACTTCCATGTATCGCATTCTAGTGTAAAAGACATGCGTAAGAGTACGACCGGACACACAAACCCTATCGTTAATTACATATAGTGGTGTGTGTCATTATATATGGGAAGCATATCCTTATGTTAATTCACCAACTTTAGTTTTTGCTATTTATTATGCTCATTATCAGTATAAACGTTGTAACATTGCTACATTATATCTTAACCAATTTTGCATTACTTGAATATCCTGTACTAGAATACGTTTTAACAAAATCAGAGGATGTTCAAAGTCAACTGTAATGCAGATGATTTATATGTTATTTATAACAGTTCCTATATAATTTGAAATATTTTTGTACCAGCAAGAGTTGTCTCTCTTTATATTCTGCTTTCGTGAAATTGGCTCCGCCTATTAATTTTCGTCTATTTTCGTGATAATTCCATATATGGAAGTTGCAAAATCGTTTACAAATGTTAATCGCGTTAGATGTAAAAGAAAAGTGTGGTGTTGTCAACCTGAGTGTGTGAAGTTGATGCAGTTACATTCTCAACGTCATGATGCACATCATTAAACGTATTGTGTACGTTCTTTCGTTTACATTTCTACATGTCGCAATTTTGAAGTTATACATTTATAAATACAGTTTGCAATTGATCTAAATTGCATGTTTTTAGCTTCCATTTTATCAAATCGAGATAATCAAAATGCTTAATACCAGTGCAGTATGAACTCTCGGATCGACAATTTTTTTAGATTTTTACTAAATTGTTTAGTAGAACCGAAGTATGAATTGTCAAGTTTCAAAGGCTGGATTTTTGGCAACGAATAGCCTCCATATAACATCGGGTGTTACAAACTATAAGCAACACCTGGGGTCAAACTGCTTCACCTGCTGGAGAGACTACAATAATTCGAATTCATTTAGTCGCCCCATTCGATCACACAGAGTTAAAGGGAGCAACAATTCAGAAGCCTCATCCTATAAAAGCAGATCATGGGCCACAAGAGTAGCATAACCATCAAATGCATTAAGTTTCTAAAATAACAGTCAAGCGGTTTGGGAGATTAACGGTTACTCTAACAAGATGTCAAGAAAATTCATTATGTGTTTAAAAAGGCTATTAATGATACCTATGCTATAGCATTATATGATGCATATGTGTCAAGGTTTTTACAAGTTTTTTTTATAATTTATCAATCAGAAAACGAAAACTGCTGCTTATAATAAAACGTAATCCTTTTCAAATTGCGAAGATCATAGTATGGAAGGATACTACGTTTCAATCTTCTTTTTCACGGTAAAATAATCCAACAAACCGTTATATACGTACAATGTTTTGCTGTAATAGAAGCAGATGCTTTTAAATATATTCCTTTAAATACACTTGACCTAATAATAACTATCTATCTGCACGTGATATCAATCAATGTTATGGTCATCTTGTTTTAGGCACTTATGATTCAAGTCAGTTATTATGATAAGAGCAGCGAATAAATGTAGGTCAATACTGATAAATAACTTGGGTAACATAGATTGTTCTGTCCTGTGGAATAAGCCAAGAAATCTATCAACTTAGAATAAATCAATGTTAGTCTGTAATCAGGCATAGTTTGATGGAGTACAGAGTAAAGTAGCGATCCAAAGTTGACGTGATCATAGGTCATTGTTTGACCTTGTTTTTAACAAGTAATTATTCACAGACAAGGATTTCGGTTTTCTTATTTCTTATTCGTCTGTTGTCAATTATTGAATTATGTCAGGAGATAATTTAGAAAGTAAATAAAAAATACATACAAAACAATTAAAAAACACAAGCAAACAAATCAAAAGATTAAATTTAATCATGAAAATTGACATTATTTGTGATCTAGAATGCCGTGAAATGTTACTTATCATCGATGTGTTATAATTCATGAAAATGCAAATGTTTTCTATTTAATGTAAAATGAATCAAGTATGTTTGAATATTATGTTCATTTTAACATTTTGCTGTGGAGTGTAGTTTGGGTTCAAGAATAAAAGCTTAT